ACACACACACACACACACACACACACACAACAACAACGCAACACGCACCCCAAACAAACACACTCAAGCCACACCCACAAAGAAGCCATCTCACCAACTCCCAGTCCTGCCACCACTCTCCCCAGCAACAAAACCTCCCTGGTGGGAGCAGACCCCATCAGAACGCCACCCGCCGTGAACACGATGCTTGACGTCATAATGGTCAGCTTGCGGCCGATGCGGTCAGTGAGCCAGCCGGACATCAAAGCAGCAACAGCCGCAGCACCAATAGTGCCAGACACAACGGCTTCCTGCCAGAAGGTGCTTAGCTAGGGGATACAGATAAATATCAAAAGGCGCTCTAAGTGACTGTGTTAATTATAGTGAAAGATAATACATCTTCTAACGCCAGATATGGAACAGACATCGGCTGTCATGGTTCGCCACTCATTTCTATACTACTCTAATACTCTACCCCCACCTCATCCCTTTCCAGCCTGAAAAAGAGAAAGCCAACAACCCAATATTTATTATTATTCCCTCACCCATCTCTCTTGCGGGAATATTGAAGGTGTCATTGGTAGTAATGGTAGGTTCTTTATTTCCCTCTGTTGTTTCTTGTCTGTCTGTCTGTGTATCTGTCTGTCTCTCTGTCTGTTCTTTTCCCAAGTGTTAAATGACCATCATTGTGTCAGTATGCTTCTTTTTGCTTGAACCCATCCCTCTATAGATTATTAGTTAAAAATCGTCCAAATATTATACCTTTGATGAATGTACGGCTAAGCAAGACATTATTGCTGAATACTTTTCTTTAACCACAGGGGTTTCACTTCCTGATAGTGTGCTGTGATTCTTTATTGTTTCTCAACACTATGGTGGATGGAGGGTAGTAAGAGAGGGGGAGAGAGGAACAGAGGGGGAGGAAGAAAAAGAGAAAGAGAAAGGTAGACAGACATAGATAGATAGATAGATAGATAGATAGATAGATAGATAGATAGATAGATAGATAGAGAGAAAGAAAGAAAGAGAGAGAGAGAGTGAGAGAGAGAGAGAGAGAGAGAGAGAGAGAGAGAGAGAGGGAGAGAGAGAGCTACAGTGACACTGAGAATGAGTAAAACATTTCTGCAGCTGGGTATTGAGTAAACTGAAAAGTTCTCATTTGACGATACACCAGTAAAGCTGATAGGTTTTGTACCAAACTTCTTTATATAACATCCAAGAACAAAAATAAGAATAACAAAAATAAAAACAACAAGAAGAGGGAAGATCGGAACGATCAACAGGAGGGATAACGATTAACATCAACAGCATAATTGTTTAAAAGAAGCTTAGACATAAAGCGACTTGATAATGTTTCTACATAATAATTTGTAAAAAAAAAAAAAAGGGGGGGGGGAAGAAATGGAAGAAAAAAGATTTTAATTCTGGCATGCTAGCTTTCTAGAAAGCGACTGAACAGAATTAGGAAGAGTTATGTCCTTATTAAAAGGAGGGAGTTACTGAAATGAAGAGAGCAAGTAAAAGCCCCTCTTATGTGTTCAACAAATAGGTGAGGGAATGCGCTCAGAAGAAACATAATTATTATTTATTAAACTCTTCTTTTTGTATGTTTGTTACTCTCTTGTGACACCTCTAATCTCCCGGCGCTCATATGACCTTATGCAGTTGTAAGCGCCGTAAAACCTCTACTAAAACAAAACAAAGACATGCTAACACTGTTGCTAAAAGCAAATATGGTTTTAAATGTGGAAAGTTGTAAGTCTGCAATATACTCACGTTCACCTTGAGAACCCACAGCGGGGAGATATTGAGGATTGGAGGAGGAGGGGGTGTAACTGAATTTCAGTGTAAGTATCGTGAAAAGTGGAGGTTATAGTAACTACCTGGGGAGTTGTGGGAGAAAGATTTAGGTCAGCTCAAACCGGTAAAGGGGGCGGGAAGAGGGAGGGGGGGGGGTCGTGATGTGAAAAAAAAGGTGGGCTGTAAAAAGACAGAAAGACAGAAACCTGTGGGTATTGGTGAACTTGAAGTGGTAAAAAGTATTCCTACACCCTCCATCACACGCCATCCTTGTATACATCCCATTACATCCCATCCCATACCTTACCATACCATATATATATATATATATATATATATATATATATATATCACTTTACACTTAACCATAACAGCCCACAGCGTACACAAACGTTCAGCAAACAGCAACAGTCATATCATTTACCTCGAAGTAGGGTTGAATAAAGAGCATAGAACCAGCCACTATACCGATGTCGTAACCAAAAAGAAAACCACCGACAGTGGCAAGCGCCGACAGAACGTAAATAAACATTGGTGAACCCTCAGAAGGCTTTCCCGGGGACTTTGGTGGCGACATCTCCTGGTCAAGTTTGTCTGTGGCTCGTGAAGAATCTCTTTCAGCTTTTGGCGCCTCCGACGTTAGGGCCGGCACAACTGTAGCGTCAGATTTGGGAACCCCTGTGCTGTCTACGTCAGGGATTTCTGTCTCTTTAGCTGCTGTCTCATTTTCTGTGACGGGGTCATCCCCTGGAGGTTTTCTATCTGGAACATTTGTGATAGGATGCGTGGAAGACTTGTTTGGGTCTGCGTCTTTCGATTCAGTCTCAGTTAGAGCTCTATCTGCATCTACAGAATTTTGAAGTTGGTCTGTTTGAAGGTCGTTGTCTTTGTCAGTTTGAGGTTCCTGAGAAGCAACGACGCCATCTTGGCTGTCTTCTGGAGAAACAGATGTGTCCTCTGAGACTTGTTGTTCTTTATTTTCCGGGGAGTTATCCATTGTGTTAAGGATATATCAAAGTTCTGATGAAAGAAAGTAAGGACGTGTCAGTAAATTAAAATTAAAAATGAAGGGGGGTTATTTTAGCTGCTTTCTGTTGTTTGGAGGAATGGGGTTGTGGGAAAAGTGTCGTTGAGAGGATGGGTACGTAAACAAAGATACATAATAACTGTATTATCTGTGTTGTTACTTCTTTTGTCTACTCGAATTGAAGCCATCACAAAAAGAAAACATTTTGTTGTTTCAGAAGGTAAACAATAACAACAGTTCAAATGAGAAGACAATAAATATTGTGGAAAAAATTAGGGAAGGAAGAAGGCGGGGGTGACTCAATGTTCAAGCAGGGGTGTCTTGTGACTTCAAATCAAGACCAATGACTTGCGGCATCATATAATATTTTTACGATACTGCATTGTGAGAGTGAAGATTGAGTGTTTAGTGCCGTATACAATTAATAGAAAGGGTGGAGGTAGATGCAAAAGGGGGGGGGGGGGGGGGGGGGGGAGGATTGTGTGCAATTTTATCACTTTGACAGAAGGCATAAGCATTTGAGCACTTAACACACTCACATGCTAAAAGGCTTGTTGTGGGTTTCTACTGTGTTTAGTGGTACTTCGCGCCTGGAGACATTAGTAGTGCTTAAATCTAAACCATTTTGATCGATCGGGTTGTGGAAACATGGTACAATTTCAGGTTCATATCGAGGGGACTTGATCACACACACACACACACACACACACACACACACACACACACACACACACATACACACACATTCACACACACGTACCTATCATATAGAATCTATAAGCTTTCATGAGCAAACACACGCACACGAACATGCACATTCACAAATTTCAACATCTGTGCCTCGGATTACTTCAGTGTGTCGTATTTGCCCTTTCTTTTCCTTTTTTCTGTTTTCTTACCACTGGACTGCAGGATTTTCCTTTGAATTTACATAAGTGACTTAATTTTATTCGTAGTTGTGTGTTGCACACATACCAGAATGGAAATACTCTTGTTGACAGACAACCTCATCGGGGTCTGGGTTTAAAAAAAAAACTAAAAGTGAGCACATTAGGTAACTCACAAAGACCACGTAATAAGCTAGGGAAAGATTTAAAACAACACTCGTCAACATTGTTTGCGTAAAGCAATGGAAAGTCAAAGTAGCAATTATCAAGCTTTTTAAAGACCTGTGTAGAAAGATCCGTCGTGACCAAGACACTTACCTTGTACACACAACATGCAGGTCGGATTCTAAGACGAAGATTTTTTTCGTCCAGTATTTTTCTTTATTTCTGCCTGTAGGCTCAAGCTAAAACACAACAATAAAAGTTTTACTTCTATAAAAAGCAACCCTATAATTTTGAATGGAAGTTAAGCACTCTGAACTGATCTTCTCTTAGAGAATCCAAATTCTGCTACCAACAGGAACCGTACCAGAGCGATAATTCCATCCTCACTAAGCGATGAGATAGAGAGAAATACCTCCCTTTGAAATAATGGCGTGACGGACAGACTTATGATGTCTTCAGCATTGATAAGCGTTCACGGCACTGATGTGAAATAGCGGGGTGAAAAGACCAGGGTGAACCGGAGCTTGGCACACGGGACGAAAACAAACAGCTGTCGCCGCCGACATAGATGAACTGATAGTGGCAAAAACCTAACACGGCTACAGCAGCGCGAAAAATAAATTGTGCCGTGGCGGCTGAGCATAAAACGCCTTCCTCAGTGCCTTCACTCCGACACGCCCCTACACTGCACATAATATATAATATATGTATGAAAGTCTCTCCCCACGTTATAAACAGTTTCCCATTTTCCATGATCGCGGGTGTTTCCCCTTTTTCATGGGATGGAGGGGGG